AAAAAAAAAAAAAAAAATCATGTGCCTTTTAGAGGAAATGATAGATTTTTCATGTTCCATGAAGTGAAGTCATTGTGCCTGACTTGTCTTTTCTGCTGTTAAATGTGTGTTGTAATAATTCTTTAAGATTTTCTTTCCTAGTCTTCAGTTGGCTAGTAAATTTTATTATTTTTAAGAAATTTATTATACTTAATAATCACTGTGGATCAACTGAATTTACATACTTTTTTCTCCAGGTATACAGCCAATTGTCTTGCATTGGTCACTTGTATGAATGAAGAGCACAAATTATCATTCCTTAAGAAGATTTTTAATAGTGATGAATTGATCCATTTCAGGTTGAGGTAAGCAGGAGCTTCCTAGAGGCTCTGCTGTGGGTTTTATGTGTAGTAAAATCATTGATGAGATCCTCCTTTCCTTTAGGTTACTAGAAGAGGCCCAGTTGCAAGATTTGGAGAAGGCCTTGGTTTTGGCCAGTCCAGAAGCCTCTCTGTGGAGTATGGAGAAGGAACAGCAGTACTTACAGGGACACCTTGTTTCAGCTGACCTCTCCTCCAGAGTGACAGCTGTCTGTGGTGTGGTGCTGCCTAGGCAGCCTCCAGCCCCCGGGGAGCAGGTGCGTTGTCAGCAGTAGGGCCAAGCCCCCTTCTCTTTTCTCAACATCAGGCTCTTTGTATGGACTCATTTATTATAGGAGGTATGAGCCTAGTTGAGTTTGTTTAATTGCTTTTCCATTTTTGGAAGTGTACATGGAGAAATTAAGAGAAATTCACCTTGGACTTTCCTTTGTAGTCCCTTTGTCTCTGTTTATTATGAAATTAGAAACTGCAATGATGTGTATGCAATGCCTTTGACTCCAGCAGTGCTCTTCCACGTGTCTTGTTTGCTTTTATTTATTTATTTTTTTTGAGACAAAGGCTCACTCTGTCACCCTAGGGTTGATCGTGTCATCCTTGCTTATAGGAACCTTAGTCAAACTCTTAGGCTTAGGCTCAGCGCCTGTGGCTCAAGCGGCTAAGGCGCCAGCCACATACACCTAAGGTGGCGGGTTCGAATCCTCAGCCCGGGCCGCCAAACAACAATGATGGCTGCAACCAAAAAATGGCCGGGCATTGTGGCGGGCACCTGTAGTCCCAGCTGCTTGGGAGGCTGAGGCAGGAGACTCACTTGAGCCCAAGAGTTGGAGGTTGCT